TGATCAGGGAGGGGATGTCAATGGACACATTAGATGGGGTAGTACGAATGTTCGCAGGGGCAACTGGTATGAGGGAAAATTCAGATAAATCCATGGTTATGGGGTTAGGAGCTTGGGCAGGAAGGGTTGATTGGGGTAGTGCAGTTGTGAGGAAGGCAGGTGAATTCGTTAAAAATTTGCGGTATTATTTATGCAGACGATCTAACTGTGGCATGCATGGAAAACTCGATTAGGATGGTAGAAAGGATTCATGGACGCTTGGGTGCATTGCGACCTTATCATTTGACCTTTGTGCAGCGTGCAATTGTTGTTAATATCTTACTGTATAGCAAAGTATGGCACGTGGCAGCCGTGTTCCCATTAACTGGGCCAGCAATAACCAACATACTTAGGAAGGTTTTTAAATTCTTGTGGGGTTCGAGCTGTGATTGGATTAAAAGGGACGTGGTAATGTTACCTGTAAGTCAGGGGGGGCTGGGATTGCTGGACTTAAAGCGGAGGGTCAAATGGGTCTTCATTAAAAGGGAGGTGATGAGGGAAAGTGTGGGTGGGGGGGGGTTTGGCCAGGATCCATAACAGATTGCAACGGATGTATACAGGAGTTGAGTTGCATGAGTGTGAAACTGTTTTGAGGGCTATGGCGTGGGATCCAGAGCCAGCAAAGGTTAAAATAGGTAGGTTGTGTAGATTGTTAGCCGGGAGGGTTGTAGCGCCTGTAGAGGGAATTTTCCCCATGTATGCATGGGGAAGTATATGGAATAGGTTGAGCAGGATGAGGTTGCGACCTCGTGTTCGGGATGTATCGTTTTCTGCACGGCATTTTACCGTCGGGTGTGGTTCTACGGGATAGACGGGTCGTTGACGGGGGGATGTGCGGGATATGTGGTGGGGAGGAGTCGGCTTTTCATGTATATTTTTGTGACGGACTGAGGAGTGTCAAGGGGTGGTTAAATAGGGTGATAAATAGGATAGGAGGTCAAGGAATTTCTGTATTGAGAGCATTAAGTCTCGAAGTGGGGGGTTGGGAGGAAAGTGTAATCAGAGCTGTGGGGTACATTATGGCAGATTATACATATATATAAAGTGTGGGGATTGCGAGGGAAACGGGTTAGTGAGGTGAAGAGGGTGTTAGCGGTAACGTTCTGTAAAACGGTATGTAGAAATAAGGAAATTTATGGGAGGAGGTGGGTGAAGGATTTTTCAGAGGGATATAGGCAACTTACGTTACAGGTTTTATTAGACTTGTAATATACGAGGGAGGGGAGGGTACGATTGGAAAGTGTTGCTGGGGCAGGGAAGTCATGGGTGAAAACAGGGTCGCCTCCCTGGTAATGGATGACAACACATGTTTGCGTGTGTGTTAGATGAGTGATATGTGAGTGAATAATGTATGGACCAAGGGTGCTAGCACCTGTGGAGCTGGCCAGTTTTTTGTGTCATGGACTATACACTATTCATATAGTACTCATGTTCCTTCAAGGTAGTAGTGAATGATGGATAGGGTATTCAAGGGGGGAAGGTTGCCTACATCACTGTGCAGAGTGAGGGTAGGGCAATATATTGATTGGAAGTGATGGATAGTTGCTTGTCCAGTGAGTTGTAGTATTATGTGTAGATAATACGCATATTATTGTATGTAGAAAGATGGGACTACACGCAAGTTGGACTTGGACTTGTACTATGAGAATTACTCTCTAACGCATGATATGTGAAGACTGATTGATCAACTGTGATCCATTCAAATTAGATTTATTATGGTGTTATCTATGTACATAGCAGTCTTAAGTCTTATTATTATGTTATCTATGTACATAGCAGTCTTTAGTCATATGATGTGAGTTGTGTTTAGTTGCAGTTGTCACAAAAATTTTGTTTTATGTGTGTTAGGGAAGTATGTGGAATTTTTTGCGTGTAGCCGCTACATGGCTGGAGTTTATACTTTATACCTTTGTATTCTGTGATTGTTTTTCATAATATAAAGTTTATCTTATATACTATGTTGTTGACTAGGGTTTACATGCTAAGATAAATGCACTATTAAGTTGCCTTTTGTGAGTTGACATTTCATTGTTGCTACTTCTTAGAAAAATTAAACTTTTGGGGTTCCTTTCACCAGGTGGAAGGTGTCATTGTGTTAAGTAAAGACATGTATCCCATTTATTATGTTATTAATATATTTTGTGTCCAAGATGTTACTGCATCACTATGATAGTGTAATTTCCTATGTATCCTTTTAATTTTAAGTTAAGATGCATTCAGGTTGTGATAGGTTATATTTTGCGGGATGGGTGGGGGTGCGTGTGAAATTGTGTCAAGTGTTAGCTTCCAGGGACATAACTCGTATAACTGGGTGTATATGGTGTGTGGTGTTAGGGCGTTAGAACACTTTTGTCTGTTGTAATCATTTTTGTAAGGGTGAATTGGGAATTTGTGATTTAACTCATTTTGTGTACCCTTTAATATAATTTCCACCTTGAATTGTAATGTTTTAAATAAAATATAAAAAAAAACTTTAAAGCTGTGTGTCAAGAACATCGGTACAACACCCTATTATACCCCACGACATCTGTGTATAAATTACCTTTGAAACCACGAATTAACATTTTTCATTTTTCATTCAAGTAGTATTAAGTCTCGTGTTTAATTGTTTTACATTTCTCGCATCAATTCTTACAAGAGTGTTTATCTTTGTATGGTATTATTATAAAGTCACTTAAAAATAACTCGGGGAATCTGTCTCACGTCCCACCATTATTGTACAAGCGAGCGGCCCATGTCCTTTCGCATGCTATTACATTACTTTTTAACAAGTCACTAGAAACTAGCACCTTCCCGACACTACTCAAGACAGCAAGTGTTACACCAATACATAAAGGTGGTGACCCTACAGATGTAAACAACTATAGGCCAATATCAAACTTACCATTGCTATCCAAAATCTTCGAGAAACTCGTGCACAGGAGACTATATTCATTTATAATGTCACAAAACATACTCAACCCCTGCCTATTTGGATTCAGGAAAAAAAAGCACTAATGATGCAATTATAAAACTGCTAGACCTGCTTTACACAACATTGGAAAATAAGGAATATCGACTAGGAATTTTTATTGACCTAAGAAAAGCGTTTGACACAGTAGACCACGACATCCTACTCCACAAACTTGACCACTATGGTATAAGAGGCCATGCGCTTGCATATTTTAAATCCTACCTTTCTAATAGGTATCAGAATGTCACCATTAAAGACACAGCCTCATCAATACGGTCATTTGATACTGGAGTTCCACAGGGAAGTGTCCTTGGACCCCTGCTCTTCCTCATTTACATCAACGATCTTCCAAACGTATCCCAACACCTGAAACCCAATCTCTTTGCTGGCAACACGACTTACGTCATCTCCCGCCCTAATCTTGCCTGCCTCAACACCATTGTTAACGAGGAGCTGCTGAAAATATCGACTTGGATGACAGCCAATAAACTTACACTTAACACTGGCAAAACCTACTATGTTATGTTTGGTAGCAGAGCAGGTGTTGCGCAACTTAACATTAAGATCGATAACACTCTAATTGCCAGACATAATGAGAGCAAATTCCTTGGCCTATACCTCGACAACAACCTAAATTTCAGCACCCATATCCAACACATAACAAAAAAAGTATCCGAAACGGTGGGGATCCTCTCCAAGATACGATACTACGTGCCGCAAACTGCCCTTCTCACACTATACCATTCACTTATATATCCATACCTCACCTATGCTATCTGTGCTTGCGGTTCAACTGCAGCAACACATCTAAAGCCAATAATAACCCAACAAAAAACCGCTTTAAGAATAATCACTAAATCCCATTCCTGGCAACACACCCCCCACTCTTCATAGATCTAAACTTACTCCCTGTTCAGAACATCCACACTTACTACTGTGCAATCTATATCTACAGGACCTTAAATTCTGATATTAACCTTGACCTAAAATGTTTTCTTGATAGTTGTGACAGGATCCACAGGCATGACACTAGACACAAACATCTCTATGACATTCCCCGTGTTCGACTAAACCTTTACAAAAATTCAATGTATTTCAAAGGACCTAAAATCTGGAACACACTACCTGAAAACTCTAGAACTGCAGACACATTCATCACTTTCAAAGCTACAGTTAGAAAACATCTTATGTCCCTGATCCACCCCGACAACTAACTACATGATAACCACCTGGTGGTTCACAATTACACTCACCCACTGACTATAAACCCAGAAATACTAATCTTAATCTTAAAATAATAAATCCTAACTAGTCGTAAGTTTGCCTATAATACACTTTGTATTGTGCCAAAACAAAAGCATTCAAATTGCTAAACTCACAAATTATGATGTAGTCACTTAGCCTTAATACCATAATCTGTAAGGATTTAATGTTAAGAATTAATTTAAGTCTGCTCGAAATACCTAGCCATGCTAGGTGTCCTAGTGGCCCCCTCTGTAATTAGTATTTTATAACATGTAAACCACACAATACTCAAAACCTGTAAACCCCACATTGTAACCCTTATTGAGAATACACTTGAACTGAATTGAATTCTCCTAAGGAGGAGTCAACCTTGTTAAATACTTGCCTAAGATCATACAGGACTGCGTAAACTTTCACAGCTTAAATGCAATTAGTTTGTCATCATCCCTTGATGATATTCGTCCCTCTGCTTATATTGTTAATATTGATCTATTATCATCCTAATAAACTCTTTTGTTAAATAATGAAAAATCAGAGTGATGCTGCTCATGTTGTATGATGAAGTGAGAGTTTAACAACTCACCTTCCTTCACCATCAAGTCCAACAACTCACCTTCCCTCACTATCAAGTTCAACAACTCACCTTCCCTCGCTATAAAGTTCAACAACTCACCTTCCTTCATTATCAAGTTGATCAACTCACCTTTCCTCAATATCAAGTTGATCAACTCACCTTCCCTCCCTATAAAGTTCAACAACTCACCTTCCCTCACTGTCAAGTTCAACAAGTCACCTTCCCTCACTATAAAGTTCAACAAGTTACTGTGCCACACTGTGAAGGAAGACACTCAGGTGTAGTTAAGTTCAACACTTTACTGTTTCACACTGTTAGTGAAAGTATATCACTGTGGTAGACTCTGAGAGGAACAACACAGCAGCGCTCCCTGGCAACCATCGTAATCTTCAACACAGATGCCAACCATCACAGTTTTAATATATTTTATATACTATTCACAAGTATTATTTTCAGAGTATGTTTACTATAACTCGAAATATATAAATCTTTACGTTTTATTATATTATATTCATATAATATAGAGGAATATTTCCAATAAGTAATTCACATAAATTAATTTTATCATCATGAGTAAAATAAACATTGGCTTAATTCTTAGTTTGATGGTATTGAGAGTATTAATAAGTTAAGGTATTTTAACTGCAAATTACTATTAGGTTTAAGATTAAAGAACACAAATAACGATAGTGCGCATAGCCCGTCTTGCTGTTTACAAAAAAAAAAAAAAAAAAATAAATACCACACTTAGGAAGACAAGAACAATTTAAAGGATCATCTAAACATTGGCCGCCGGAAATCAAGAAAACGGTTAAACGCAATTTTTATAAAGTTTTCAGCAATAAAACAGTTTTTCTTGGTAGTGACGACGAATGTTCTGGTAGTAAAATAAGTGTTCCGAGTCATAATACTGTTGCAGCGTTATGAATATATTAATCAATTGTAACCATTTCTTCAATAATTAAAAAAAAAATTAAGTGGACAGCAACGAGAGACGAGGTTTTAAAACCAAGAATATACTAACGGCTAACGAGACACAAAGTTGATAAACACAGGAATACAGATGCTGAGATAAAGTTGAAAGGTAAATGAGGAATTAGCAAAATGATGGAGTAACTTTTATTATAATAGGGAGGCTTGTGAGTAGCACAGTAAGATCACTTCTCTTAATATAATAGACACGAGAGGTCATCAACTGGGTAAGCTTGACCCGGGCCGGGACAGTACCGGCCAGCCACGTCGATTCTGGTGTTTCAGTCAGAGCAGAGGAGGAAAAGGCTGTATCAGTACAACTAAATGCGCAGCCAGAGAAAAAATAAATGATTCCAGAGTAGTTTAGCTACCAGGGTGGAACAGATCACTAGGAAGACTCAAGACAAGGGAGACAAATAACACTCTCTTCTCCCACCTGAATCTCACCAGCCGCAACGATTCTAAGACCTTGACGGCGTCGGATTCGCTGCAGTGTTTCTGCACAGTGTCGTGCGAGGACATTTACTATCCTCGGCTAGCATTATTACTGATGAATTGTATGCCATTCTTTCAGCACTTATCCGTATTGCATCTATACCTGTGTAACCATTTGTTGTTGTTTCAGACTCCCTCAGTGCTTTACAGAATATACGTAAATTCAATTCACCTCACCCCCTAAATCTTTGTATCCAATTTTTGTTATGCTGTGTCTCTACCAAGCACAAAGATACAATTATTTGTTAGGTCCTTGGTCATGTTGACATACAGGGCAATGAACAGACAGACACTACTGCGAGGTCAGCAGTACATGACCTCCCAGTTTCATATAGAAGTGTTCCATTCGTGGACTATTTTGCTGTAATTGCTACCCACCTTCGCACTCGTTGGTAACAACGTTGGTCTAATCTGCTCTATAACAAACTTCATTCTATTAAACGAGTATAGGTTACTGGCCATCTCTTGTCATCAATGTCGAGGTTGGAAGACTACTCTCTCCTGTCTTCGCATCAGCCACACTCGTCTTACTCATGGGTACCTCATGGAGAGGCGCCCTGTTCCTCTCTGTGAGAATTGTCATCTTCCAGTATCTGTTAGCCACATTCTGTTGGACTGTCCACTCTATCAATGAGCACGCAGAATTTACCTCCAACGTAGTCTCTGCTCTGCTGCTCTTTCTTTATCTTCCCTTCTTGCTGATGGACCCTCCTTTAAGCCAGACTCTCTCATTGACTTTTTAACAACAACTGATTTACTCCACAAACTCTGAATGATACCTTTAACACTCCCCTCAGTCCTTTCTACCTCAATATCTTGCTACCCTCTACCTTGCACTATCCACTGCCCCTGTTTGTACTCCATTACTTACTACTCATCCCTCACCCTCTTGCTACCCCGAAACCCTCGCATCCTTCTCTGCCCTGCAGCGCTGTATAAGCCCTTGTTTTTTTAGGCGCTTTATTTTTTTAAAATGATCACCAGCCTCAATTCCTTCCATGCAAATACAATTTTCCTGGAAACCAGATACCAGAACACTCATCGTCTAACCCCCTTCTAAACTTTAACTTGCTGAGTCGTATCCACCAGACCTGCACATCTGTATAAAAACCTTGGAGCCCCTCTATATTAGGAAAGATCCAAAGGTGAACATCATAAAGGTTATCAGTACCGACACGTAATAAGTAAGACACAGGGTGCAACGTTAGGTATCTTTATTCCGGAACTTTTTCGCCTGCACAGTAGGCGTCTTCAGTCAAATCCGGGGATTACAAATACCGAGACAATCAGAAGTAGTGGAGAGGTAAAATGCTGTAATGAGCCCTTTAACCTTTAAGGTTAGCCCCTCAGTCGGGGAGATGCTTCCAACTTCATATCTTGAAACTTGGAATTTGATTGCAACATAAATTTGGGACTTTTATAATGCAAAGGTTGGGTGGCTGAGAATGAAGAATGAATCACAGGATGCAAGGTCACTGTAGTAATTATGAATATGAAATATTATGTGAGAAATTACCTACATGATGTTTATAGGGTATTACCTGAATTATTATGTGCAAGTTATTTTGGGCGGGTAAGTGTAACTTAGGCACAGTAGGTCGAAGAACGTCACTCCCTTGAGCCCACACATCACCACTCACAAAAAGCTAGACATATTAAATTAATAATGAATATATTAAACATTAATACCAATAATGGTAAATTAATGGGAACATTTTTACAGAGACTAGGAAAGTTTCTCCAAACCATGTTAATAGAACAATAAATTTATACACATTAATTTACTATTTGTCAGAGGAAGACACTTAATGCTGGTGGAACATACCTTAACGCATCCCCTAGCAACTAGAATTTACGATGCCCAATGCAAACTACTGTGCATTATGCGTAAGGGTCCTTAGCTTAGGTTTACTGCTGAAAGAATGGGAGTCCTCTATTTTTTAAATCCTTGTTGCCAAATTGCAAGAGTTTTCCACACTATGTATCCCAATTTTTAAAGTGGGAATGGCAGAAATTTTCTAAATTACAGATTGAGGCCAATATACCCCCAACTAAAACATTACACAACTAACAGATTACATTACACAACTAACAGATTACATTACACAACTAACTGATTACATTACAGAACTAACAGACCAGTGTTCACTCATTCAGTGTCACTATGGCGTCCCCCGTCCGCATCACTTTGCGGCTGTTCTACACCCTTGTTCACTTAAAATTTCTTGAAGGGTTAAATCAGTGCCACATTTTAATACACAATTATTATATTATTCATTTATATGTTGTACATTTAGTAAAATCATGTAAAAAAAATTCTACAAAGAACAAAAGATTTGAGGAGCACTGCAGCAAGCCTACTGTCCCGTTTTGAAGTTTGAGACACATGTAACACACTTGAGAACCTTTATTGTTAATTGAAAAGGGTTTCGCCTATGCAGTAAATTGCTTCAAATGCAGAGGGAAATAAATTGGATGCAGCAGCATTGTAACGAAGAAAATATGATGTTATCTGTCATTCAACCTTGAGAAATAGTGTTTTAAGTGGTCAGTCCCTCAGCCTGGAGGGAATGCCTCCAATTTGTTTTTTTATTATATTTGACTGAAGAAGCTACTGCAGAAGCGAAACGTTTTAGTGAACATGAAAGATAATTAACTATTGTACACATCTCTTCATCATGTCGGAATTGTAAACAATTTTTATCATTTGTGGCAAGCTTGTCAGAGCCTCAAACTCTCCTCTTATTACTTATAACTAAAACTATTTAAACTGGAAATTAGAGTTTACGGAGAACAAGGAAGCATTAATAAAGATTTAATAGGACGAAGCACAGAGGAAATACAGAACTTGAAATTACACAATGAGCCTAAAACGTGGGGAAAGAAACTGTACCATACCCCCGGCCGGGATTGAACCCGCGGTCATAGAGTCTCAAAACTCCAGCCCGCGGGTTCAATCGTGTCATTACGATTTCTTGAGTCATGTTGACGGTAGTAAAGAAACTGTATGATGCTGAGAGATTATTGCTGCAACAGGATGCTTTTGCATCAGTGCAACTAAAGGTGATAACACCAATATTGACTGACCAATCCAACCCAAAATTCCTGACAGACCACTACCAAGCAACATAGTGCTGACATCGGGATACTGATAGAGTAATGCCATTCAACAGAGTACTGACAGACCTATATCACAAAGGATATTGACAACCCCATGTTAAAACAAAATAGGGAGAGACAAAACCACAATAGGATGGTGAAGACTAATGTTAGTAGGTCGATAAGAAGCCTATACAACAGTTTGATGACGTGAAATAGGCCACAACAGAATGATAACAGACCCCAAAGACACAGCATTACAGTTTACTGATAATAGCACAGTAGGATGGTAAGATATCATTATTACACGTTGAAGATACACCAATGTCCCTATAGAATGGTGACAGACCAGTACCACAGGAAGATAGTAACATACCATTACCAAAATACGATGATAGAGCAATAACACAACAGAGTGAGCGGCAGTAGGCAGGCTGCAGGGTTTCTCATTGCTTATATACGTATGTAAACACATCTCAGTAGGTAAATAAAGAATATAAAAATGACAACTGGTATTACAGTAAGAATTAAAGAACTAACAAGGATTCTAGAACACCTGTTATATTCACACACATTCGAGACAGAACTAGAGAACATAACTAGAACAACGCACTTGTCAACTTTTTCTTAGAGAAAAAACAACAGTATCAAATAATTACATTCCAGTAACTCACTGAGTTCAGAAAGCTTGAGTTCGCACATTTTTTTTTTTTTTTTTTTGAAATTTGACTAATTTCAGGGAGAGTTTGAGGTCATGTGCACTAAATAAAACGAATTATTTCATG